ATGCTCCCTAGCACCCAAACGGTGCGAGATAGAGCAAAACGGACAAAATTTTCGCCCAGAGGGTTCTACTTTCACGAGTTACCCCTTAGAAGCCCATAAAAAAATATTTGGAAAAAATAAATATTTTGCAACCTGTGGTTTTTGATTTTTTAAAAAGCCAAATTTTGAGCTAGAATGCTCATCTTCGAACTCGATCTGTCTTTTTATGATACAAAACGACCCTGAAAATCCCAGGTCGCTCTCTCAATTCTTGCTCGAGTTATCGTGCGGACAGACAGACAGACAGACAAACAGAATGAAACTTTTCCGGTCAGTGGAGTAATAGGCTTCGCTAATCGCTCAGCCAAAAAATTCCCCGACAAATGCTGTGAGCATGTCAAATTTTGGAGCCGGAAGACTCTGTTCCCGAATACCCTCTCACTAACTTGTCTCGGGTGTCAGCGCCGCAGGCCTAGCTAAATGTGCACCAGGCGCGTCGTAGCGTAACAGTGATTCGTGAGATATTGCGAAGCCTGTTACGCGAGACGTGGTCTGGCGTACATAGAGCTAGTTAAGCGTAAGCCCTTCTAAAGGTCGCTTTATAACAGTGGTGGCAGCGGTCAAGCGGCGACAGAGGAGGAGGTGTTAGGGCCGTTGGCCAAAGCCAATCCCGAGCTTGCCCACCGGCCATCCAGACAAAATTTTGGCCGAGAAATAAAGTAAGAGAGAAGACCTTTGCCTTTCCCAATGAGGTATTTTACGAATAAGAAGAACAGAAGGAATCCCGACTATTGGACCACAACAAGTCGCAGGCAAATAACGAAACGGTTTCTCGTGTACCAGATTTTTGAGGTTCTCAGCTTTAAAATGATATAGAACAGTTATGACTTTTCAGTTTTGTCGATGCGCGAGAAACCGTGCGCTTGGTCGTGGCTTTGTTAGGGTCCGGGAGCAGACGTCGGCCGGGATTCCTCCTGTTCTTATTCGTAAAATACCTCATTTCTTTTCAGCTCGGCCCCGCAACCAGCAAAAGGACGCTCAGGAAACTGAAACGGTCGCGCCATCGTCCCTGCGTCGCTGCCTCGCGTCGAGCTTTCTTTCCAGTCTGTTAGGGCATCGTCGCAGAGCCGCCGTAGTGAGTAAAGAAGAAAAGTGCAGTGACGTGATCAGTGCAGTGTTAGTGAAAAGTGCAGTGAAAAGTGTCAAAAGTTGGGTCTGAACGGCGCGCCCCACCTCCCCCTGCCCCAGCGCCGCCGGTTGCTGAGGGCGATGACCTGGCTCAGGTCGTTGCCCCGGCCGAGCGCGCGCTCCCCGCTACTGTAGCGCTCACGCGTCTGCGCCCTCGGCGCGCGCAGGGAGTGCAGGTCCCTGCAGGGGTATGCGTTTGGGTAGCAGGAGAGAGGCGGGAAGGGCAGGTCCGTGAAAACCAAGAGCTTGAGCAGGCAGAACCTGCCGATGCTGCTGCCCTGGCTCGAGCCGTTGAAGCCGTCGCGGCCGTTGCCGGGCGGCAGAGGGGACGCCAAACTGCCGCCATTTTGGCCGAGCAAGCTGAGCACCCCCAGCCTGCTCCTTCAGCAGCTCGCCCTGCAGACTGATTCCGCATCGCGATGAGGGGGGGGGGGGTGGACGGGGACGGGAGGACTCATCCTCACGAGTGCGACAGAGACAG